CCAAAAAGTATTCAAACTATTCAGTAGTGAAGGAGAAAAATTACATATCTGCTCAGAACATGGTTGTGGTAGAATATGACTTTGATTCAGAGAAAGGGGAGGGGAATGCTGAGCTGTTACAGAAAAGGTATCTGTGTCCTAGGAAAGTAGATTGTGTGAGAAAGAAGCTCAGAACAACCCAGGCTTGATTGTGTTAGGTATAAGTTAAAGGAGAGAGGGCCTTTGACAGGCTTTCAAGGTTCTTTTATATTACCCTAACCACATTAAAGTGCATTGCAAGACTCCTGGCAACTCCTATTTCCTGACTTTTCTTACTTAGAAGGGCTAACATCAATCTTGAAAGCCCGTCAAAGTCTCTCTCCACTTCAACTTATACCTAACACAATCAAGGTAGAGTTGTTTCTCACACATTCTACATTCCCGGGACTCAGATATTTTTTACTGCAAATTTTCTTGATATCTTCCTCCCCATTTTTCTGAATCAAACCCATATTCCATCACAATGGGAAAACAGCGCCTGGACCAAAAAAGAAAAGTTAGAGAACAAGATGAAATGCCATCCACAAGATGGCACATGGCTGCTGTGAATGAGCTTTCTGCCAGGGTACCAAGATACTAGAGAAAGCTTCAAATAAATGATTGCAGACCAGAAGAGATTCTAAATGGTTATTTCCTCAAACACAACCTGAGGATATACATAAAAGGCTTAATAGGCATACTTACTGAGTATGTACAGAGAAATTAAAGAGAGAGACTTTAGCATAGCATAGTAAAACAAATTAATCCTGGAGTAGACTCCTGTCTAAGCTTGTTACCTACTTCTTCACAACTAGAATTCCCTTGAAGCATCTGTTCCCACTGTCTTTATTACCTGCACATTAGCCAGATTTCTAGAAAATCCAAACTTTAATAAGAGGTTGTAACTTTTCCCCACCTTGGTTCACAACTTTGTCCTGTGCCTCCCCCTCTAGTTCTGCCTCTAAAGGGCTTCAATTTGTTTTTTATCCAGAATAGAGGGAGGGCTGAGATGTCTCTTTCCAGAAGTGACAATCAAGCACGACTCCTTGTGGAAAAGCAGCTTCTAAATCCGTGGTCTGCACAAGGAGAACTTTAATGGGAATATCTTTTAGCCCTGCAAGGTAGCCCAGACAAGAAGCACAACCAGGAGTACTCACTTTATCTTTATTGTAAGGTTACTTTAACAGAATCATGCAAGATTGAAAGTATTTCTCCCCTCCTTTTCATTTACTCTCTGGAAAACTAGAGAGGGTCCCTTCTGAAACATTTCCCATGCCCTCCCTCCTTCTGGGTGCTGAGATACCTTTTACAAGCTGATTGTCCAGTCTGTATCTCTCCCTCCTGTCTCCCAAGGTCATTCCCACATACCATTACAATATCTGCGATTTGCCCGTTAGCAAGGGAACTACTTTCCCAACAGGAGTTATCAAGTCAGGAAGCTTTTTGTTTTGGTTTGAATAAAAACAACCAAGTAGAAACTGGAGAACATAGTTTACCTACAATTTACACCAAGCTGAGATCTGCATTCCAAAACCAGCTTTCAGACATCTGTAAACAGTCTGAGCAAACAAGCTGAAAGAGGGAAGAACATTGGACCAGACTCAGAATCACCCCAAACTGAGCTTTCAACATGGAACAAAAAAGATAACAGCCCCTCCCACAGCACTCAGACAGAGTTGCATGAAATCTCTGCTGTTTAGGTCACTGCTTCCCCCAAGGTCCCACAATGAAAACCCACAAGGATTAAAGAAAGTCCTAACTTCCTCAGAATCCACTGTCACTGGAGAACATGTTAATGGTGATTGTAGAATATTAGAAGGCCCCCATCTGACCAGCTGGCCTCTCAAAATGAAGAGTCCTCATAATCCATTACATCTTGAATAAGAGGGAAAATGTGTTAAAACAACACTCTTTTGGCTGTTCTTACTTCCTGTTCATTTTTCTCTCCTGCCTTTAGAAGATAATTATTTCACAGCACACCAAACTCAAGGGAGCTATCAGTAGAAATTGTAGGAAGAGGGCTGTGTTAGTCTATGTTAGCCAAAAATCAGCAGTCTAGTAGCATCATTTCAAATTGTATTAAATAAAAGGCAGAAGCTTTCATGAGCTATGGCTCACTTCATCGTACATCTCATGAAGTGAGCTAAAGCTTATGAAAGCTTCTGCCTTTTAATACAATTTGCCCCCATGTCTGTTTTTTCTGGGAAAGGAATTTGCATTCAGAAGAGCAGCTGACATCTGCTCTGAAACAAGTGTTTAGCTGACATCTACCTTGGAGGTACCCCTCCTTGAAGTCTTGTAGAACCCCCCATAGCACTCCATAGCCTTATGTGTGGACTCCCAAAAGTCTCCTAAAGTTAATGCAGATTTGCACTTCAAAGTAACAAAAGGGGGGGAAAAATGAGGGAAGGTGAAAATTGAATAAGGGAACAATCTATGAACCTCTTTAACCTACACCAGTATAATCTATAAACCCCTTTCACATGGTGAAAGTGGTGAAGCACTTTCAGTGTAATCTATGAAACCCTTTCACATTGATTAAATTAGGTTTTTGTCCAATCCCAACCCACTTGCAATGCACCCCCAACTTGCTGATTTGAGGTGGGATGGGACCCTCCACTTGAAGGAAGTTGCACATCTTTGCTTTAATGAATATTTTTTATTCCTCTTGTTCCAACATGCCAAGAAAACATTGCAGCACTCACACCTCAGAACAGAATCCTCTACTTAGTTTTCTCTTTTCTTCATTTCTCTCTCTCTCTGTTTCATACTCCAAATGCTCCCTCCGTTTCCATGTAGGGTCAACTAAAGGATTGGCTGGCCAAAAAGGGACTAGGCACACCATGGTAGGTAGGGCATTAACCACCCCCCAACCAGATCCTTCAAGCTCTGCCTTTCTTCCATGCTTAACCTACTGTGGTTATGGGTTATGAAACACTGTTATCACCCATCTTCTCAAAGGAAGGAAATGCCTTGAACTTACTGTTCCCCCTTTATGTGGGGAAAAAGATGGGGCTCTCGCAGCATGAGCACTTACTTACCAGTGAAGGTGAACTCTGTCGGACCTCCTTGTTCTAGTAACTTTGAGACATGTGGCCAGAGCACAGCAATCCCATGCCCTTTTAATGAGATAAAAACAAAACCATGGACCTTATGAATTAAAAATTAAGTTTATTAAAACATAAGTACTGTACAGGAGAAGTAGAAGTGGCAGATGCACAAAGCAGTTGCTGTTGAGTGGAATAAGGCATTCGGTGCTGATGAAATTGCAAATCTTGCTCTTGCTTAAGTATGCAAAACATACACGAAGGGAGTTTGCACATGAGCAATGAACGTCTGGTGCAAAAATCAGAGGCGTGGTCCTTGTTAGCAGACACATTCAAAATATCAGAATCCGTTAAGCAGACTAGCATATCTGTAGACAAAAGAATCTGAATGAAGAACCCGTTAATCCATAAAAAATAGCCAAGATTAACAATGATTAAAGTTGTTAATGACAATGATTAAAGTTGTGCAAATGCATTGTCTGACTTGGTTAATGTCTCTTTAGTTTTCTGTAAAGTGTCTCTGTTGGCCTCATTATTATTCCCCCCTGCCACCCGGTCACACCAAGCTTGCTCATTGTCTTCTGGAGAAATGATAGCCCTGATTTTGGGAGAGGTGATGAATTTGAACTTTATGTTCTGTATTCCACAGTTTGTACCCATTTCTTAGCTGGCCTTTTCTTCTCCACAGATATTCCAATTTGATTTTGAACTTATTCTCTCTTATGGTTGATGCCAACATTCCAGACATCGCTCTTGAACCTGACAAGACAGTCAAAAAAGTAAGGATCCAGTTTCTTATACACCAAAAAATATACAGATACGTGTATTATGGGATGCTGTAATGTTGATAATCATCTAGACTTGCAAGAACATAGATTTAGTTGGACATGAAGAAGAATTTTCTTATGATAAGGGCTATCTGACAATGGAACAGACTGACTTAGGAAGCGGTGAACAATCCTTCACTAGAAATGTTAAACAGAAACTGGGTGGCCCTTTCAGGGAGGCTGGAGTGATGAATTCCTGTGCTGTGATATCGAAGATCTCTTCCATGCTGTGATTCTTCCCATTCCATCTCAGTAACTTAGCCACTTTTAGTCAATGGATGGGGAAAATATCTCTGAATCATTATTGTGGCAAGAACAATCAGCATAGAAAACTGCTGAATACCAAGTCAAATCATTGGTTCATATTGGCTGGTTTCAATGTACAGTATTGCTCTGACACATTATGTCAATTCTTTTTGGCCTACTATGAATTATGGTTTGAAATGCCAGGCTTATACATTTAGTACAAGTCTGGAAAACCATCTTTAGCCTCAGGATCACACTTAGTCTGTCCTACAGAGTTGCCAGACGCATGGCTGATGATGCCATGGCAGATGACATCACCAGTGTGCAGAGAGCAATTTCTTCATCCCCTCCCTTTTTCCCCCCTATATTGAAGTGGGAGAAGATTTATTGGATAAAATTGGTACCTTAAAATCTTGCAGAAGTTTAAGACACACATTTTATATCTTAATTCCAGGTTTACTTGGTTTTGTTTTGTTTTTGTTTTTGCTATCCTTTAAAAAAAAAGAAAGAGAGATACAGAAGATTGTGCCTTGCGTTCTCTAGGGTGCTGGGTAGGTGCATGGGAGCAGCACACAAAAGCAGTGAGGAAGCCACTCACTCTGTACTTAGGAAGTTGCATCAAGATAAACTGATTTGGAATATTGAACAAACCATGGTTAACCAAATGTAGTCATACAGGTTCAGAAGTCAGAGAATTTGTCACAATACAACACAAGGAAGGAATCTTTGCAGGAATAATGATCCTGTCTCTATTTTATCATTTGGAAGTTTCCCTTAGACAGTTATTTATGTTTAGTTGGAATAGCGGTGCGTGTCTGTAGTGGAGATAATTATTTTTAGGGGCATTCTGGAATTGTTTTTTTTCCCCCTCTTTGTTTTCAATGGTTCATGTTTCATGCAGTTGTCAAGGATATATAATTGGTAGAAACGTGGCGATCAAAGAGCAGAATTGGCAGTCATTCTGGATTTCAGGAGCCTTCCTTCTCTCCCCGCTTCTCCCCCAAGTTGCTTTCATCTGTAGCTTTCAACTTGTGATTTACCATTTAATCCCATCCTTCTTTGTCAGAGATGCACTGTTGCTTGACGTGATGGTATTTGTGTTCCTCTTGGACATTGTTTGCAAGCTAGCTTTTCTACTAAAAAAAAAAAAAATCAAAAGGAACCTCTGTGGTTGCGTTTCCTCCCAATTAAGCCACACTTACTAGATTTATTATTAATATCTGGTCTGTAGTTTACATGTTTCATTTTGGTTGAACTTCATGCCTGTCTATCGGGGAGTTCAAAAGCATGCAATCAGTGCTATTTTCTTTTTTTTTCCTCTCTCTCTCTCTCCCGCTCTCTCCGTGCATTCATATTACCTTTAAATATGTCAACCACCAAAGCTTATTTTTTGAGGTTTCATGGGGTTTTATAATCTTTCTGAAAACCGATTTCATTATCCAATTGTCATACCTACGCATCTGAATTTTATTTATTATGCTGACTCTTTAAATTGCATTTTGCCAATTTTGCATCTTTTTTTTCTCTATTTTTGCTGTTGATTTTAATAACCAAGTAGCTGTAAGTGGTCCCGTTGCCTTGGTATACTCTATGTCTTCAGTTTAATGGCAAGTCTAAAAGAGTAAAATCCACAGCTTTGAGAAATTGCTTTGTCTGATAACTTATGATCCCTGTGTAAGCTTCATAATCAATATCTCTATGGACAGGAAGTTGGTCTTGTACAATAGTATGCTATCCTGAGAGCATAAGGCAAAAAGTGTAACCTTATGTCATTGCTATTTAATTTACATAGAACTTTTCGCCCACTTTTACCTACCTGTGGCACAAACCTCGCTTGGAATCCCTTTTTTTTTTTTTTTTTTGCCATGTCCCCATGATGACTTGTCCCCAGCTCCTGAAGGAGATAGGTATCATCCATAATACTGTCCCCACAAAACACTGTCCAAGAACAGCCTCAAAGTGTTCAAAATCAGTAGGCTTTGTCCTCATTGCCTCGGAGGCAGGTTAGGGGACTGGTAATGACTGGAAATGGAGGTCATAGAGACAGGATATGGATTGTTGATGAGGATAGCAAATTTCATGGCACCGTTTTCCGCAGTCCTAAAGGTGGGTGGGAGCAGTTCAGCACAGCCATGGAGAAAGGCCATCAAGCACTTTGCAGAATAAAAATTGAAAAGCCCATATGACATTTGCATAGGGTTGTCTGAGCATTGTGCACGCATATACAAGAGTCTGTAGTCTTCAATATAATATATGCTAATACACCATTGCTACGTGGTTTCATCATTTTCTTAGGTCTCTCCCCTAAATCATTTTTCTGTACAGTATCGCAGTTTCAATTACTACGCAGAGCAGTAATGTTGATGAAAGATATTTTGGCCTAGGAAAAGAATGGAAGCATTGGGCGAAGAACAGAAATATGCAGGAAAAGAACAGAGATGTTTGGGAAAGTTGGAATTAATTCCAGTTTTTCCCCCCCCTGGTTTGTTCATGCTGTTTTTAATTCCCTTCCCACCTCTAGAACTGATTTCCTATATCTACCTGACTAGTGTTTGGATGGCTTAGAAATATATTGTCATGGCCCAGGACTTGGATTCTGATTCTGACTCTGAAGGAGCTGCTCCAGCTGAATCAGTGGAATGTCAGCCTCAGGAGACATGAAGCCAGGAATCCCCTGAGGCTGATCAAACACAGGCCCCATCAGAACAGCTGGAGCCATCAGTTGATGACGAATCGTCTCCAAGCCCTCGGACCTGGTGAGTAGAGTGGAGAGCAGAGCAAAGAAGCTCAATGAGGCTCCTTGCCAAGGAAGGGAGGAAGTCTCTTAATTGAAGAGAGGTAGCTGCAGCCTGATTTAAGAGGTAGTCATGACCCATGTTTCTCTGTTGGAAACAACTGTCTGAACTCCTCCTGTGGTGTGTGGTTCCTTTGAATCCTGCTTATGTAAGAAACCTTGAACCTCTGACCTTTAGACTGGCTGACAAACCTGACTTGCCAATAGGAGAGAATATGTGTAGCTCAGGGTTGAACTGTGGAGTACTTGGGAGTCTCTGAGCTTGGCTGTTTTCTTGCAAATGTTTCGCTACCTGGCTAGGTAACATCTTCAGTGCTAGAATGGAGTGGGGTTTGCTCTCTCTTTATATACAGTGGCTTGCCCTGCCAGTGTTTGTGCGGGTGGGGGTTTTGCTTTGTTTTATTTATTTTTCCCTTCTGGAAGTTCCTTGATTAGGGTATTGTTTACTGCTTGATTGTATGTC